CTGAGATGGAGAGATATAGATAGGTATTAAGGTAGGTAGATAGATAGAACTTCCAAGCCATTAAATGCTAATCAAGGTGGTCAGTTGAAACATTCACACCTAGCTCCAGCAGACAAGAGTCCTTTGTCCCACCCTGGTCATTCCACAGATATATAAACCCATTTTCCTAGTTCCAACAGACCTCACTACCTCTGAGGATGCCTGCCATAGATGCAGGCAAAACGTCAGGAGAAATGCCTCTAGAACATGGCCATATAGCCTGGAAAAACCTACAACAACCCAATATATTATTATTATTATTATTATTATTATTATTATTATTATTATTATTACACTAGAGTCTCGCTTATCCAATCTTTGCTCATCCAACGTTCTGTATTATCCAATGCAGTCTGTTTCAATGCATGGGAAGCTGGAGCTGACAGAGGGAGCTCATCCGTACTCTCCTTGGATTTGAACCTCCGACTTGTCAGTCTTGCCAGCACAAGTATCAAAATATACAAGTATTTTATATTTTAGTTGATGTATTTTAATATACAAGTCTTAAAACAGCATTAAACATAAATAGATAGATCTTGTCGAGATGGAATATATACATATCTTAGGAAAATAGAGATGGAATATATGCATATAGGTATCGTAGGTAAATAGATATTGATAGAATAGATAAATAGAGAGATAAGATCAATATTGTTGTGATGGTATATAGATATCTTAGGATATCGAGATGATATAATAGATGGATACATAGATTGAGGAGGACCTAGAAAATTGATATACTGTATACCGTGTGTGTGTGTGTCTATATATATATATATGTATGTATGTGTATATATATATATATGTGTGTGTGTGCACGCGCGCGTGTGTGTGTATGTATATATATATATATACACACACACCACAGTCATACTGTAAATACATATACATACACACACACACATATATGTAAATACACACATATATACATTGCAAAAAAGGCTGCAATTTAATACAAATTATATATATATATATATATATATAGGAATTTGTATTAAATTGCAGCTTTTTTTTGCAATTTTCCAATTAAGCCGCATTTATCCAGCAGAGGGCAGAAAAGTCCTTTCCAACCAATGCTTTTTTCTTCTTCTTTCCATTTAATATAATTAGATGGATCAATCTATTATGGGGTAATTCTTATTACCCATTCAGTACAATTAAGAGTTTTTATCCTGATGGAAATGTTGCGGTTTGGAGTGTTATGGGTGTGGGTTGTTTTTGCATCATAATAATAATAATAATAATAATAATAAATCATGAATAATTATTATTATTAATGAGGATTTAAAAATCGAACTGCAAAGACACCAGCACAGGCCAGCCAAGGTGGTCCCAGTGGTGATCGGCACACTGGGTGCAGTGCCTAAAGACCTTGGCCTGCACTTAAAAACAATCGGCACTGACAAAATGACCATCTGCGAGCTGCAAAAGGCCACCCTGCTGGGATCTGCATATGTTATACGCCAATACATCACACAGTCCTAGACACTTGGGAATAACAACAACAACAACAACAATATAAACTGTATTAGCTACCTCTCCTTGTGGCATAATAATAATAATAATAATAATAATAATAATACTATTATATTATACTATTGATATTATTATTATATTAGTATACTATTCTATTATTATACTATTATATTATACTACTGTTATTGTTATTATTTATTCTATTATTATTCTATTATTACACTAATTATTATTATACTATTCTATTTTACTATTATTATTATTATTTATTCTATTATTATACTATTCTATTATTATACTATTATATTATACTATTGTCATTATTATTTATTCTATTATTATACTATAATATTATTACACTATTATATTATTTTATTATTATTATACTGTTCTATTATACTATTGATATTATTATTCTATTATTATACTATTCTGTTATTATACTATTATACTACTATTATTATCATTGTTCTATTATATACTATAATAATAATCAGTATATTGTTAGTATATATATTATATACTATATAACATACTATATTAGTATATATATTATTATGATGATGATTATTATACTATTGTATTATAATATTGTTATTATTATTATTTATTCTATGATTATACTATTTTATTGTTATTATTATTGTTGTTGTTCTATTATTATACTATTATATTATACTATTGTTATTGTTATTTATACTATTATTATACTATTATATTATACTATTGATATTATTATTATTATATTAGTATGTTGTTGTTCATTTGTTCAGTCATCTCCGACTCTTCGTGACCTCATGGACCAGCCCACGCCAGAGCTCCCTGTCGGCCGTCACCACCCCAGCTCCTTCAAGGTCAGTCCAGTCCCTTCAAGGATGCCATCCATCCATCTTGCCCTTGGTCGGCCCCTCTTCCTTTTGCCTTCCACTTTCCCCAGCATAATTGTCTTCTCTAGGCTTTGCTGTCTCCTCATGATGTGGCCAAAGTACTTCAACTTTGTCTCTAGTATCTTTCCCTCCAGTGAGCAGTCGGGCTTTATTTCCTGGAGGATGGACTGGTTGGATCTTCTCGCAGTCCAAGGCACTCTCAGCACTTTCCTCCAACACCACAGCTCAAAAGCATCGATCTTCTTTCGCTCAGCCTTCCCTAAGGTCCAGCTCTCACATCCGTAGGTTACTACAGGGAATACCATGGCTTTGACTAGGCGGATCTTTGTTGCCAGTCTGATGTCTCTACTCTTCACTATTTTATCGAGACTGGACATTGCTCTCCTCCCAAGAAGTAAGCGTCTTCTGATTTCCTGGCCACAGTCAGCATCTGCAGTAATCTTTGCGCCTAGAAATACAAAGTCTGTCACGGCCTCCACATTTTCTCCCTCTATTTTCCAGTTGTCAATCATTCTTGTTGCCATAATCTTGGTTTTTTTGATGTTTAGCTGCAACCCAGCTTTTGCGCTTTCTTCTTTCACCTTGATTAGAAGGCTCCTCAGATCCTCCTCGCTTTCGGCCATCAGAGTGGTGTCATCTGCATATCTGAGGTTGTTAATGTTTCTTCCAGCAATTTTCACCCCAGCTTTGCATTCATCAAGCCCCGCACATCGCATGATGTGTTCTGCATACAAGTTCTAAAGGTTGGGTGAGAGTATGCAGCCTTGCCGTACGCCTTCCCAATCTTGGAACAGTCTGTTGTTCCGTGGTCAGTCCTGACTGTTGCGACTTGGTCCTTGTACAGATTCCTCAGGAGAGAGACAAGGTGGCTTGGGATGCCCATCCCACCAAGAACTTGCCACAATTTATTATGATCCACACAGTCAGAGGCTTTAGAATAGTCAATGAAGCAGAAGTAGATGTTTTTCTGAAACTCCCTGCCTTTCTCCATTATCCAGCGGATATTGGCAATCTGGTCTCGCGTTCCTCTGCCTTTCCTAAAGCCAGCTTGAACATATTAGTATACTATTCTATTATTATACTATTATATTATACTACTGTTATTGTTATTATTATTTATTCTGTTATTATTCTTTTATTATACTATATTATTATTATACTATTCTATTATACTATTGTTATTATTTATTCTATTATTATACTGGAGCCCCCGGTGGTGCAGTGGGTTAAAGCACTGAGCTGCTGAGCTTGTTGATCGAAAGGTTGCAGGTTCGATTCCGGGGAGCGGCATGAGCTCCCGCTGTCAGCCCTAGCTTCTGCCAACCTAGCAGTTCGAAAACATGCAAATGTGAGTAGACCAATAGGTACTGCTCCGGCGGGAAGGTAACGGCGCTCGATGCAGTCATGCCAGCCACATGACCTTGGAGGTGTCTACGGACAACGCTGGCTCTTCGGCTTAGAAATGGAGATGAGCACCACACCCCAGAGTCAGACATGACTGGACTTAATGTCAGGGGACTACCTTTACCTTATATAACATACTATATTAGTATATATAGATTATTATTATACTATGATGATGATGATGATACTATTCTATTATACTACTGTTATTGTTATTATTATTTATTCTATTATTATTCTATTATTGTACTATATTATTATTATACTATTCTATTATACTATTGCTATTATTATTATTTATTCTATTATTATACTATTCTATTATACTATTGTTATTGTTATTGTTATTGTTATTATTATTATTATTATTTATTCTATTATTCTATTATTCTACTATTCTATTATTATACTATAATATTATTACACTATTATATTATTATTATTTTATTATTATTATACTATTCTATTATACTATTGATATTATTATTATATCATTGTTCTATTATTATACTATAATAATAATCAGTATATTATTAGTATATATAGATTATTATTATTATACTATAATGATTATTATATGTACTATTGTATTATAATATTGTTATTGTTATTATTTATTCTATTATTATACTATTATATTACACTATTGTTATTGTTATTTATTCTATTATTATACTATTATATTATACTATTGATATTATTATTATATTAGTATACTATTCTATTATTATACTATTATATTATACTACTGTTATTGTTATTATTATTTATTCTATTATTATTATTCTATTATTATACTATATTAGTGTACTATTCTATTATACTAGTGTTATTATTATTATTTATTCTATTATTATACTATTTTATTGTTATTATTGTTGTTGTTCTATTATTATACTATTATTATTATTATTCTGTTGTATTATTGTTATACTACTATTATATTATACTATTGTTATTATTCCATTCATTCGGGCGCCTTTTCGTTTGAAGACTTCATTTCCCAGAATGCCTGCGTATGGGTCGCAACGGCCGAGGTCGCCGGGAGTTGGAGTCCGGGAGGCCGTCCCGTGATGCATCGCGCCGGCGTTGCCGCACAGCACCCTGGGGCGGGTAGTGCGGCCGGCGCCTCTTGCGTGCGGTGCGAGGCCCGGCGGGACTGCATCCCCCATCATGCAGCGGGCGAGGGGCGGGGCCTGGACTGGGACAGCAATGGCGGCCGGCCGGTAGAGCGCGCTGTGAGGCCTTCTCCTCGGGAGGGAAGCGGGAGGCGGAGGAGGAGGAGGAGGAGTAGGCCGCGGACGGCGCGGACATGTCCGGCAGGGTCGAGAAAGCAGGTACCGGCGCCCAGGAGGAGGGCCAGGCCTTCCCCATCCTTCCCTCCTTCCCTCGTTTCCTTTCTCTCTCTCTCTCCTTCCTCCCTTGGCTTTACAGTCTTCTCCTCCCTCCCTCCCTTTCCATCTTTTCCTCCCTTCCTTCCCTCATTTCCTTTCTGTCTCTTTTCCCCTTTCTTTACCATGTTCTCCTTCCTTCTCCCTGTGATCTATGGAACTTACTGAATTTCATAATTCATTCTTCTTTTCATTATCTATGTACTAACATCCCATGACTACTTCATTATTATTATTAATTAATTCTTATATACCTTTCCTAATTCTTCATCTTTACACAATATCTATATCCTTAATTTCATTAATTTATCAAATATACTTGGCCTTACTTCCTTCTTCATTCCTTATTCTTTCCAAACTTTACACATATATTATATTTTGTTTCTGATCATCTTTTCTACATTAACTTTTCTGATTGGAAACACTTGCACATTACTCATTCTTCATCCCTTCACTTTCTATTAACAATTTCTTATTATATATTACTTAATTGACATCCTTCCCCATTTTTTCCTTTTTTTTCCCCCTCACTTCCTCTTTTCAAATATGTTCCATCTATTCCTTCATTTCTTCATCATTCTTCTACACTTTCCTTCCTTTTTACCAATTTTTTACAATAATTTAAACTAGTCCATCTTATTTAATTTTGCATTTCTATTTATCTATCTTTCCATCTATTATTCAAAAAAAACATTATTTCAAAATACATTTAAATATCTCACTTTTTTATTCATAACATTGCCCTTTTTCATTTGATAAAAATATTTCCATTCTTCTTTATTCAGTTTAATTTCTTATAAATATTATAATTAATTAATGACCATCTTTTCTGTCTCCTCCTTCTTTTCTTCCTCCCTCCCTCCCTTGCCATCTCTTCCTTCCTTCCTTCCTTCCTTTCTATTTTCCCATCTTTCTTATCTCCTTCTTCCTTCCGTTTCCCCCATTCCTTCCTCCCTTCCTCTTTTCAAATCTTTTCCATCTCTTCCTTCTTTTCTTCCTTCATTCCGTCCTTCATTCCTTCTATCCTTTCCTTCCTTTCTTCCTCTTTTCCCATTTTCCTATATTCTCCATCTCTTCTTTCCTTCCTTTCTCTTTCTCTATCTTTTCCTTCTTTTCTTCCTTCTACCCTTGGCATCTTTGCCTTCCTTCCTTCCTTCCTTCCTTCCTTCCTTCCTTCCTTCCTTCCTTCCTTCAACCATCCATCTGTCCGTCTATCTGGCACTTCCTCTCTCTTGCCATCTTATCCTTCCTTCCTCAACTTCACATTTTACCATCTCATTCTTCTTTTATTCCCAGTTTTGTGCTCCTTCCTTCCCTCCTTCCCATCTTTTCCATCTCTTCTTTCTTTTCTTCCTTCCTCCCTTACCATCTTCTCCTTCCTTTCTTCCTTCCCATCTTTTCTGTCTCTTCCTTCTTTTCTTCCTCCCTTGCCATCTTTTCCTTCCTTCCCCTTTTTTCCATCTTTTCCATCTCTTCTTTCTTTTCTTCCTTCCTCTCTTGTCATCTTTTCCTTCCTTCCCCTTCCCATCTTTTCCATCTCTTCTTTTCTTCCTCCCTCCCTTGTCATCTTTGCCTTCCTTCCTTCTTCTTTCCCCATCTTTTCCGTCTCTTCCTTTTCTTCCTCCCTTACCATCTTTTCCTTCCTTCCTCTTTACCCATCTTTTCCATCTCTTCTTTCTTTTCTTCCTTCCTCCCATGCCATCTTCTTCCTTCCTTCCTTCCTTCCTTCCTTCCTTCCTTCCTTCCCACCTTTTCTGTCTCTTCCTTCTTTTCTTCCTCCCTCCCTTGCCATCTCTTCCTTCCTTCCTATTTTCCCATCTTTCCTATCTCTTCCTTCCTTCCATCTTCCCCATTCCTTCCTCCCTTCTCTTTTCAAATCTTTTCAATCTCTTCCTTCTTTTCTTCCTTCCTCCCTTCCTCCTTTCCCATCTTTCCCATCTCTCCCTCCCTTCTTTTTTTCCTTTCTTCCATCTTCCCCATTCCTTCCTTCCTACCCTTTCAAATCTTTTCAATTTTTTCTTTCTTTTCTTCCTTGCTCCCTTGCCATGTTTTCCTCCATCCTTTTCTCCCTTCCTTGCTTCCTTCCTCTTTCCCCATCTTTCCTATCTCTTCCTTCTTTTCTCCCTCCCTCCCTTTCTCTCTTTCTATCTTTTCCATCTCTTCCTTTCTTCCATTTTCCCCTTCCTTCATATCTTCATTCCTTCTTTCCTCTTTTCAAATCTTTTCCATCTCCCTTGTTTTATCTATCTTTCCTTCCTACCTTTTCTTTAGTCTTTTCCTTCTTTCTTTCTCTTTCTTCCTTCCCTGCTTCCTACCTATCCCCTGCCTCCCTTCTTTTCTTTTCCCTCCTCTTTTTCCATGTTTTTGTTCTCTTCCTCCTTCCTTCCTCCCTCCCTCCCTTCCTCTCTTTCCATCTTTTCCTTCCCCTTCTCTTGTTTCCTTTATACAGTTGCCTTCATTTCTTTTTTCCTTCCTCCCTTTTCTTTACAATATTTACCTTTCTTTCTCCCTCCATCCCTCTCCCCTTTCTTCTTATCTTCTTTCCATCTTCCTTCCTTCCTTTTATTTTCATCTTTTCCTTCCTTCTTCTTTTTTTATCTTTCCTCCCTCCCTCCCCTTCTTTCTACCTTCCTTCCTTCTTTTTCCTTCCTTCCTTTCTTCAGACCATCTCTGGGTTCCCCAAAGTATTTAAATGATTGCATTAGGAACTTGATTATAAGATGCCGTTGATTGTGAGAAGCACATTCATTTCAATACCATCAACAGAATATATATATATGTGTGTGTGTATACATACACACACACACACATATATACACATTTCTATTTAAGCACCCATGGATTTGAACTCTCTCCCCATTTTTAGAGATGTTTATATTGGAGAGAAAGTGTGCCTTAGAATTGAAGAAATAATAGTATATGTAATGATATATCTTGCAGAGAGTTACTAATCTCTGATTGTTCTTGGTTGTCGTTCGTTCATTCTTTCTGCAAACTAAGATTCAGGTTCCTTACTGAAAACCATATTTTGACTTTACCGCAGAAAACACCTTTGAGTACATTTTAGTGCTGGAAACAAAGCTGTGAATGCACAACATTGCTGTTCCGTCGGATGATTCGTCCATATGTTGCCATTGTATAGAGCAGTGGTTGTCAACCTGTTGGTCCCCAGGTGTTTTGGCCTACAACTCCCAGGTATCCCAGCCAATTTCTGGGATTTGAAGGCCAAAACACTGGGGAAAACATCTGCTTTCCTGCCTTCCGGACTCTCGGTTGTTGCTGTTTACGGGCGTGTTGTTGTGTGTCAAGATTCAACCCGTGTTTTGCAAGCTAACTTGGTTTTGTTGTGCAGCATTTAATTAGCAAACGGAGATCAATATGGCCTTGTGTTGCGTAAGGACCTTCCTTGGGGGAATGATGTGATGATACAGGGCCTTTTCTTTCCATGAATTGTTATGACTGTTACGCCATGGAACACAGTTTTTGTTCCTGGTTTATCGTTTCCTAATTGTTTCTATCATAAAAACATGGGGGGAAAAGTTTATTAAGTGGGAAAAAACTCAGTCTTTGTCGTGCAGCACATTTTGCTCTACTTTTTCATTGACTATCCCATCCAATTCCACCTAAGAGGCTTGAATGAAAAGTAATGCTTCCACCTTCGTAACTCCTCAATAGATGACAGTGCTGGTATGCGGCAGGTACTGCCTTGTTGAGTAGACTCTCCTCTACAGTTCCATTTTGGCCAGAAGCCTTAGCATTGAATGGTTGTGTTCTTAAAGCAGGGGTAGGGAACCTTTGGCCCTCCAGCTGTGGTGGACTTCAACTCCCACAATTCCTTGAGGCTCGGCATTGGGCCAAGGTAAGCCTTTGGGGCGAATGCCGAGCCTCAAGGAATTGTGGGAGTTGAAGTCCACCACAGCTGGAGGGCCAAAGGTTCCCTACCCCTGTCTTAAAGTGTGAAGTATGGAACCCTATGCAGATGATGTCCAGATCTGTCACTCCTTCCCACCTGTCACCGAGGAGGCTGTCCAGACCTTGAATCGGTGTTTAGCTGCTGTGTTGGACTGGATGAGAGCTAACAAATTGAAACTGAATCCAGACAAGACAGAGGTCTTACTGGCCAGTTGTAAGGCCGAACAGGGCATAGGGTTACAGCCTGTGCTGGACGGGGTTACACTCCCCCTGAAGACGCAGGTTCGCAGTTGCGCCCGTACCTTAGGAAGTCTGATCTGGCCACAGTGGTCCACGCTCTTGTTACATCCCGAATAGACTACTGCAACGCACTCTACGTGGGGTTGCCCTTGAAGACTGTTCGGAAACTTCAACTAGTCCAGCGAGCGGCAGCCAGATCACTCACTGGAGCGTCATACAGGGAACACACCACCCCCCTGCTGTGTCAAGTCCACTGGCTGCTGGTTCAGTTCCGAGCACAATTCAAGGTGCTGGTTTTGACCTACAAAACCCTATACGGTTCCGATCCAGTGTATCTGTCCGAACGCATCTCCCTCTACGTCACACCCCAGAATTTGAGATCATCTGGGGAGGCCCTGCTCTCGACCCCACCGCTATCACAAGTGAGGTTAGTGGGGACGAGGAGCAGGGCCTTCTCCGTGGTGGCCCCTCACCTGTGGAACTCACTCCCGGGGGAAATTAGGGCATCAACATCCCTCCTCTCCTTCAGGAGGAAAGTAAAGACGTGGTTGTGGGACCAGGCCTTTGGGCAATCTGACAACTAGATAAGGACAATCAGATGACTGAGAGGACTGACAATGTGGAATTGGAATTTGGACTATGAGATGGCGAACTCTGACCATCAATGAGGAGTAATTGGGTTTGTATTGGTTTTATTAGTTTTATTGGTTTTATTGTTGTAATGTAGGAACTGTTGTTTAATTGTTAATTGCTGCTATTTGTTTACTACTGTTATGTGATGCTGGCATCGAATT